TCGGCGCCGGAGCCCCCGCCCTCGTCGGGCGCGGGAGGCAGGGCTCCTATGGGGGGGAGTGCGTCGATCGGGGGCCCCCAAGCAGGGCGGTGGCCACACCGTGCGGTGAGCTGTTGGGGATTCGGGGTCGCCGCACGGCTTTGGGGCTCGGGTCGCTCTCCGGGGACGTCTCGGGCGACGGGGGCCTCCGAGGCCCCAAGACCGTGCGGTGACGGGCCGTGCGGTGAGGTCTCGGGGGATTTCGAGGTCACCGCACGGTCCATCACCGCACCGTTTCGGGACTCCAGAATGCACCAGGATCCGCTTTCCTGTGCGCGTTCCAGTGCAGGCTCGGAGGAGCGTCGGTGTATGGAGAGTTCGGCTCCTCCTCCTCCTCCTCCCTCCCCTCTCCTCCTCCCTCCTCCTCCTCCTCCTCCTCCTCCTCCTCCTCCTCCTCCTCCTCCTCCTCCTCCTCCCCCTCCTCCTCCCCCTCCTCCTCCCGCCCCCTGTCGGGGGCAACGATAGGGGTGGGGGGATGCATCGACCCCCAAGCGTCCATTGATCGCCGATAGGGGCCCGATAGCCCCAACCCGCCCAGGAAGGTGCGGATTCGCTATCGGGGGCCTATCGCCGATCTATCGGCGATGTATCGCCGATTCCAGGTCGATGCAGCCCCCCCTATGCCTATCCCCCCCCATCGTTGCCCCTCACTCCAGTCGGCGGCGGGCGAGGGGGGGAAATGAGAAGGAGAAGGCCTCCTCAGATGGCGGCGGGACTCCTCAGAACAAGTTGGAGCGGCCGGACATCTTGGGACGGTGCCTGTCAGGGGTACAGTCGACCCGCAGAGTAAGGATAGGCATCCCTCCCAAGGGTACCCTTGCATCCTTGCTTCCTGGGTCCGTCCTTGGACACTTTCGTTGGCCGCGCCCCGCTCGGGAAGCTTCGGAATGGGCGTCCAAGGCCCTTGCATCCCTATCGCGCATCCTTACTCTGCGGGTGGGCTTGTCCCTCTACAGGGAGGACATTCAAAAATAGTCAAAAAATAGTCTGGGAATGTTTTTGTTTGACATTTGTTTGGACCTTTTTGGGGTACTTTTTGGGGAATTACAGTTTTTTCGTCCAAGCTCCCCTTGCATGGGGGACACGCCCGACTTGAGAGTAGAGAACCCATGAAAGGTCCAGCCTGGGCCGAGGGACAGCAGAAGTCGTCATCCTCACATTCTCATCGCGCCCTTGCATCCATTGGGCGTCCAAGGCCCTGGCATCCTCATCGCGCAGCCTCGCTCTGCGGGTTGACTGTAAGGTGCCGTTTTTAATACATGCTCCGCGTGCGGATCATGCATTTAAAAAGATGAATTGATTCAGCATTAAAAACAGCGATGAGCTCATGCATACGTTGATTCATGACTTGAGCATGTATGTTTCTTGTTTTTGTTTTTTGTTTATTATTATTATTATCATTCGTATTATTAGTATTATTATTATTTTTGTAGAAACATATTTGATTGTTGTTATGCTGTTGTAATTTCTTTCTTTATTTATTGTTTTGAATCCTACGGATTAACAACAAACTGCGGGCGGGCGGGCTCGGGGCGGGGCGCACCGCTCCCCAAGAGCGCCCACCGGCTGCCGAGCGGGGGGGGCCCGGCGGCCCGCCCTGGCCCGGGAGACCGTGCGGCTTTTCGCCCTGTCGGGAGCCCCTCGCGGAGCCGTCGGCGACGCAGACATCTTCGAGGTCGACGGGGCCTCCCCCACCCCTCCTCCTCCCCCTCCTCCCCCTCGTCCTCCTCCTCCTCCTCCCTCCTCCCTCTCCTCCTTCCTCCTCCTCCTCCTCCTCCCTCCTCCTCCTCCTCCTCCTCCTCCTCCTCCTCCTCCTCCTCCTCCTTTTCCTGATGAGCAACTCCTCCCTGCCGCACCCCATGTTCGGATGCAACTCCTGGGAGGTCAAATTCTGGTTTCGCCGTCGGGGGCCCCTCGCAGAGCTGCTGGCGACGCAGATCTTCGAGGTCGACGCTCCCTCCCCCCACTCTCAAGCAGTGGCGAGGCGTCCTGGCTCGCCTATGGCCCTGGCAAGCAATGTTCTGAGATCCTTTTGTGGTCTCCACGAAGTCTTTTTAGAACATCTCTGGTTGATGTTGTCTTGTTTTAGCACACCGGGCTAGTGTTCTAAAAACATGGTTTTTGCTCTTAGAACAAGAGCGCTTCGTGGTAGGACTATAGGAATGCCGGGACGGTCGGTCCCTGCTCAAGCCACCCCTCCCCCATGTTCGGATGCAACTCTTGGGAGGTGCATTCTGATTTTGCCCTGGTCCGAAATCTGGCTTCATCCCGCTGAATCCGGCCTAATCCCGCTGAGTCCCGCTTATTAATCCGGCTTAGTCCGAGGCCCTTTCTGGCGTAACAGCCCCCCACTGGGGCTGAATCCTTTCTAATCTTTCCGACGAAAACCTCCCAGTAGTTTTAAATCGGGCCTGTCCCCCTACAGGGGGATTTTCGACGAAAAAAAGAAAATACCCCAAAAATAATAAAAAAATAGTCCAAAAATAGTCCGGGGACTATTTTTTGAATATTTTTTGGCCTTCTTGGGGTATTTTTGGGGTATTTTTTGTTTTTCGTCGAACATCCCCCTGTAGGGGGACACGCCCGACATAACAGTAGCTACCTCCTAACCTCAGGAGCCGGTCCCCCCGGACGCCCCTGCTCAGCCTTGGAGGAGCGTGGCGGCACTGGGAAGAATTCGGGTCTTGACGAGCGCGCGCCCTTCGCTCGCGGGGGGCCGGCGCGCGTGCGCTGGACGGGCGTCGTGGCCCCCTTCCCCGCCTGCTGCTTCCTGCGCCTCCCTCCCGCCTGCCCTCTCGCCCGCACGCGCAGCAGGCGCGAGCAGGTGCGGGCGCAGGGCGTCGGATGCTCGACGCCGCGGGTGCACCACAGCGCGGGGCGGACGAAGCAGCGGGTCGGTGTGATCCGGTATTTCCAGACGGCTTCACGCGATATTTCAGAGCGTGAATTACCTACCCCGCTTTCGCTTCCAGGCAAGACCAAGTCATACCACGCGACTCCCCGTCGAGCGGCCTGACCAGTGCGGGCCGTAGTTTAGCATCGCTTGGTAGCTCTTGGAAGCGAGGGTGGTCAAAAGCGAGGTAGGTTCGTTTGCCCCCTGATATTGCTTCGTCTATGTGTCCCACGCCGTCCATCCCTTGCGTAATTCGTCCTGGATGCCAACAGAGGACTCGCCTTCCATCGAGTGATCCTGTTGCACGGAAGTCGGATGTGGCTTAATCCCCCAGCAACATCACGGCAGTTTGGTGGGAAGATCGCGCGCCTGCAAAGATGATCTCACTGCGCTGCTGGTTCAGCTACTCTGCACTTCGACTGTCCAACTGGACTTCACCAGTACCTTAGACGTTGTATAGTTTCAGTGTGCGTTTAGCTGTGTGCCGTGACCCGAGCCGTCTGCCTCAGGTGATGGAGCATTGCTTCGGGGCGGAGTATGTGAGCCTCCATGTCCGCTACACGAATCGTGCAGGACCCACCTGTTTTTTTTTGTTGTTTGCAGATTTTCGTGCAGTGGCGAAGGGATGCTTGGTGATTTAGCAGGATGATGTCGCATCGGCGTATCCGTTCGGGATCTTGTGCGCCTGATGGAAAGCTCGAGCTTGTCTTGGGCGGAAGTGCGGCAAGGTTGCTCTTCAGTCCGTGGTGTGTCCTGAGCTTCAGGGATGCACATTGTGCCTCTCGGCTGCGTTGGCGAGTGTTGAGTCGGGCCCGTCCCTCTGCAGGAGGGATATTCAAAATAGTAAAATCATAGCCTGGGGACTATTCTGGAGTATTTCTTTACTCATTCAGGACTATTTGTTTTAGTATGTTCTAGTTTTCGTCGAAAATCCCCCTGTAGGGGGACGCGCCCGACTTGGGACGAGTGTTGCTAGACGTCCTGGTTTGCAGCAGAGGCCCCGTGCGGACGGTGGAGCGATTCGCCCGCCTGGCTCCTCCGCGGAGGTACGCCGAGCTCTCGTCGCGCCTGGCTGCGCGCGTGGAGCTTGCCTGCAGGGGTTAGGCACTGTGAACTGGGGTGCCGCTTTTCATTTATTTTTTTGTATATTGTTGGTTGTTGTTGTTGTTGTTGTTGCTGTTGTTGTTGCTGCTGTTGTTGGTGTTGGTGTTGGTGTTGGTGTTGGTGTTGGTGTTGGTGTTGCTGTTGTTGTTGTTGTTGTTGTTGTTGTTGTTGGTGTTGGTATTGGTGTTGGTGTTGCTGTTGCTGTAGTAGTAGTTGTTGTTGTTGTTGTTGTTGTTGTTGTTGTTGTTGTTGTTGTTGTTGTTGTCGTTGTTGTTGTTGTTGTTGTTGTTGTCGTTGTTGCTTGTTATTGTTCTTGTTCTTGTTCTTGTTCTGGTTGTTGTTGTTGCCGTTGTTGTTGCTGTTGTTGGTGTTGATGTTGGTGTTGGTGTTGGTGTTGGTGTTGCTGTAGTTGTTGTTGTTGTTGTGGTTGTTGTTGTTGTTGTTGTTGTTGTTGTTGTTGTTGTCGTTGCGGTTGTTGTTGAGTTCTCATTTCGGAAGAATGATTTTTGTTGATCCCCCCCGTCCGGTGCGCATTGTTTTTTCGATTTAAGGGCCCTTCCCGGGGCCCGCACCTTTTTTTACCAGGGAAAGTCTTGAGGGTCAAACAGTGTCGTTGGCCCCCGGTTTACAACAACAACGGCTCCCGCCTGATACTTCCTCGCAATTTACTCAGAAATCGCGCTCTCGCTTGGGACTTCGTTGCAATTTACCACCGGATCGCGGCTCCCGCTTGGTACTTCTTCATAATGCATTGAAGAATCGCGCTCTCACTTGGGGCTTCCGCGCTCCTTTCGACACGGCTGCAGTTCTCATTATCTTTCCGCCCCACTTTCCCAACATCCCGCTTCTTTTCAGGGTTCCACGAATTTTGATTCGTGGGGGTATCCACGATCTGTTCTTTCAAGGGGGTGGTACGTGGCGCTGTTTATGGCGCGACCCATGGCGATTTTTTTTGTTAACCTGTGTTGGAATGGCTAGCGCAAGCCATGGCGCAATCTGAATCGCCACTCACAGCGTAAATCATTGTCCTCCCTCCTTCTTGTCCCTCCCTTCCCTTCCTCCGATCCCTTCGTCCTCATTCTCCTCCGTTATCTGATACCCTTCGTTTTCAAGGGCTTCACCAAACACACGTGGCAGGGGCTGAATATACCCCCCAAGCGGGGGTACGATCGAAGACGAAGAGGGTGGGTGTCCAGGGTTTAGGATATGCGTATTGAATGGCACGCGAGAAGGTAAGAACGAACAGTCTTCAAATGATTGTTGTTGGTGGTGGTGGTGGTGGTGGTGTGTGTATGTGTGTGTGTGTGCTTGTGTGTGCTTGTGTGTGTGCGTGTGTGTGTGTGTGTGTGTGTGTGTGTGTGTGTGTGTGTGTGTGTGTCTGGCGCGCGCGCGGGCTCCGGTTGTCTCTGTCGACTTGCTCCGCTTCGGCGCTGCGCGAGGCCGCGACCGCCGCAGCATTGTGTGTGGTCGCCTTCGACGGCGGCGCTCGCAGGCTCCCTGGCGGAGGTGCTGTCGCAGGCGGGGGCGTTACCTGGAGGGTTTCTCCGAAGGGCTTAGGCGACCCGTCCTCCTCCTCCTCCTCCTTCTCCTCCTCCTCCTTTTCTTTCCTCCTCCTTTTCCTCCTCCTCCTTCTCCTCTTCCTCCTCCTCCACTCTCCTCTCCTTCCTCCCTCCTCCTCATCCTCCTCCTCCTCCATCTCTCCTCCCCCTCCTCTTTCTCCTCCTCCTCCTCCTCTTCCTCCTCCTCCTCCTCCTCCTCCTCCTCCTCCTCCTCCTCCTCCTCCTCCTCCTCCTCCCCCTCGGGTCGCCTACGGCCCCAGGGGAAACCGTGCAGCGTTACCCTCTGGCGACATCCTTCCCGCGTCACCGCACCCGTCCAGATCGCCGCGGCCACCACGCTCGCGCTCCCCAGCGTGGACAACGCGTAGATCGCCGAAACCGCCGCCTGCAGGTGGGGTTTGGCTATGCCAACCCATACCCCCACTTCGGCACGCGCTGCCGGGGTCGTGGGCGACTGCCTCCCCGTGATCAGGCATGGTGCCGGCACGGGCTGCTACTGCGGGGCCCTGCTGTAGGCCCAGGTAGAGCGATCATTCACCGCGGTTCGGCATCAAAATTGGAGATTCTCATGGCAGGCCGCTCGCTGCTGGCACAACTCGGCCAGCGACTCGCTCGCCACCCTTGGCGTCTTCTGGGCGCGCTGCCTGCGGCGCGAGGGTAATACCCAGCTGCGCACCCACGCTGTCTGGTTCAACGGCTGCCTCGCGACTACAGTGCGCACGACGCCCCCCAAGCCTCTCCTGCTCCGCCCGCGCTCTCTCTCTCTCTCTCGCTCTCTCCCTCTCTCTCTCTTTTTTTTTTTTGTTTTTTTTTTTCTCTCTCTCTCTCTCTCTCCGACCACACCTGGTGAGGCAGAACTTTACCGAACTCGAGCAGCATACGGAGGTATTTGACGACCCCCATGGCCCGCATGTCGTGGCAGCACAGCCGAAGCCCTGTCACCTTCCAGGGCGCTTGTGACGGCTTCCCCGACGGCTAGTACGAGGTGGTTTTTCGCTACGAACAACGGGCGACCTGGGCCAGTCGCGCAGAGCGGGACCCCACCAACAAGGATGTGACGTGGCTGGTAGGTCAGTGGTAACGCGAGGTCAGCGGCCAGTGGATCACCGGCATGCACCTCGCCTGCAAGAAACACTGCCGGAACATGTCCCACGCCTGGTCCGCGCCCTCTCGCCATTTCGTCGGCTCCGAGCACAATAACCGTCCGTGTCCAGCCAATTTAGAGTACACTCACACCGCACTCCGTTCGGGGCCACACCCGACACGTGCCCGACCCAGCGGTTCCTCTCCCAACTCGTGGACTTCTGCACCCCGCTTAATTTCCCGACCTACTTCTTCGCCGCGCCCGAGAGCGTCGCTCAGCCGAAGTCCCAGCTACGTCCCCGTCGACCACCAGGGGAGCCTCAAGTAAATCGGGCGTGGTGTTTGCAGGACACTCGTTCAGCCAGACGGGGCCCCGCCCCCTCCGACTCTGACGTCGCCGCCCTGGGCGCTCTCATCAACGGGGCTCAACTGGCCCCGGCTGCGAACTCCACGGCTCCGACCCGCGCGCAGCGTTTCAGGCCCACTTCCCCCGTGTCGGGCTCTACCGGGGGGCCCCGTGCAGCGCTGGGCTCGCTCCGCATGCCCACTTCGGCTTGGGCTTGCGCGGGCCCTGGCGCCGATTCCCCTGGCCGCCAGTGGCCCCGAGGACGCGGCGCTCGCGCCCCCCTCGAGCTCCCTGCACCAGATGCCCCGAAGGCCAAGGCCTTCGGCGCGGCAGGCGCCTCGGCAGGCGACGAAGCCTCGGCAAAACCCCCCGTTGACGCGGGACCCCTCGGCACCGCCCCGCAGCCTCCGTCCGTTGTCGCAGAACTCGGCGCCGGGTCGTGCTCTATCTCTACCATGCCGCGGCCGCGGCCGCTCGCCGATACTGAAGCGGCACTCGCCCGCGGACGGGCCCCCCTCTGGCGCGCGTCCCCCGCCCGGTCTACTAGGGGGACGCCTGGCCAATGCATGCCGCCAGGCGACCAGTTCCATGTGCCCAAGGACCGGGTCGTCTTGTTAGTGGGCCACATGGCCGTGGTTCTTCATGCGTGCTGGCGTGCTCTCTTCTCCCAGTGTGCCACGTTCTCGTGGGCGCGCGCGAGGCCAATGCGTGTGGGGGCGTCCTGCCTTCGCTTTGCGAGGATGCGCGTCCGGCGCTGACCCTCTGTGCTGACGTAGCACTCGACGTCGCGCTGTCCCGGGTCAATGCCGGTGACCCTGGGTGGGTCGCGGGGGATCCCGCGACCACTGCGCCCCTCGCGTCTCTCGCGCGCATGACGGGCGGCTGATGGGGCCCCGCAGGTTCAGCGACTCCCTCGCCGCCAGCCAGCCCTGCGCACCCCCTGCGCCTCCCTTTCGTTCACCTCCCCGCTCCGCGACTACATCGGCCGGGCCCGGCTCGCCTGCCCGCGCAGCCCCGAAAACATCGCCGGCGGCAATCCCCTGCGCGTGCTTTTCCACTGGGGCGCCGCCGCTCACGTTCGGCTGGTCGTCCCGCCCGACGCGCCCCGGCAGCCTTGGGTTCGGCGCGACGCGCGCGCGGTCGTCGACGCCTGCCGCGACGATCGCAGGGCTTGGGGCCCCGCGGTTCCGCCAACCCCCGTCCTCGCTGCCCGCCCCTTGCCCCCCCCCCCCCCCCGCGACGTCCGAATCCGGGTCAACTTGGCCGAGTGCCTGCCGGACATCTGGGAGGGGTGGGCGGATGAGCTGGGCGTTGCTCTTGCTGCCTCGCCACTTGTTGCCGCCGCGGCGCGCGACTTTGGCGGCCCAGCTGCCTCCTCGGAGACCCCCTGCCTCATTCTGTGGCGCGCCCCGCAGGTCCCCGCCCGCCCCGCGCCGAACGTTTCCGACGCAGGCGACGCCGACGGCCCATTTCTTGCCCGCGTTCCCAGCTGGCGCCATGGATTTCTTAGTCACCTCGTGGCCGCGGGGCGACCGGCTGGCCGCCTCGGGCGCCGCGCCTGGCGCCGCCGCCGAGCTCTACGAGGAACGCGAGCGCCACTTCCTCGGCGCGGCGCGTGGCCGCGTCGCGGCCAGCGTTGCCTTCGTTCTCATAGTGATGGAGGCGCGCCCCCGACTGGCTCCTCATCTTAGGCCCCGTCTTTCGCCGCCCCGTGGTCGCCGCCCTTCCCGGCGACGGGGCCTGGGAGGTCGCGGGCCTGTTCGCCCTCGACCCGGGGCAGACCCCTGTGCTTCGCCGCTCAGTGGCTTGCTCGTGGGCCGCAGTCCACGGCCCGCTGGGCTCCGGGGAGGCCAGACTGCTCGCGGCGCTCGCTGTCCACCGCACTAGCTCCCCAACCTTCGGGCCTGGTCGCGCGTGTCGCCGGCGGGGCCGACTCGGCCGGCCGACGACGCTGTCGTCCGCCTCCTCGAGTTCTACGTCTCGGACCCCCCGCCGCGCCGTGGGCGCGCCGATGTCGGTCTTCGGCGCGCCCGGGCCAGCGCGCTCTCCGAGCGCCTGCTCCCGCTCGCCCCCCCGAGCGGACTCGCCTCATCATTGCTCCCGGGGGGCGGCGGGCCAGGGCCTCGGACAGTTTCGAACCATTCCCCAGGCGGGCAGCTCCTGTCTTCAGAATCTTCGCCGTCGCACCCGAGGCGCTCGACGGCCTCTGCCACGGCGCCGATTAGAACGAAGGCCTGCGGTTCGGAGGACCGCGGCGGCGGTGGTCATTATCAAGATGACAATGGTGATGGTGACGGTGGCGATGACAATGGCGACGCGGCGATGATGCTGGGAATTGTGCAGATAAGGATAATGCAGAAGTGCGCGCTTGCAGGAATTCCGAATTTCCAACGTGCCTGATTGAACGCCCACTTCGCAATCGTATGTTGTTGAAAAGATGCGTGTTGAACTGGTGGGAACACGCGCAGTTTTGGATTGTTTCGACGTGCGCTCGTGGAGGCGCGCGCGCGTGGACCGAGCTGCATCGCCTGGCAGAGTTGGCGGGCGCGCGGTGGCCATTGGGCGTCTTCGACGCGCGCGCGTGGTTCGCGTGGTCTGATTTGGCAGAACGGCAAAAGCCATTTAATTGTGTGCGTGTGATTCGATTCCGGCGAGGGCCGCGCGCGGTGCGTAGAATTCTTGCATGTTCTGTGGAAAAGCCACGTGTGTTTCATTCCCCAAACTGTGCTTGCACCTCGGGTTTCTTTGGTTGTTCTCCGCGGCGCCGTCAGGCCGGCGATTTTTCAGATTGCCGCTGCGGGGGTGAGCCGTGCTGCTCGGGCACCAGGCGGCGCCACCCGTCGCGCGGTGCGCCGCCAATGTCGCTTGCAGAGGCAGCTGCCCGTCACCCGCGCAGTCCTGCATTCCCCTGCGCGGGTCGCGCGTGGCGGGCCCCCCCCAATTCGGCGCGCTCGCCTGAGCCGCGCGCCTCCTCGCGAGGCGTTGGGCGCCGCTGCGCGGCGCCGCGATCGCTCGGCGCGCGCGACGCAATAATGTTGTGTAGGGAACCTGGCCCGAATCCCGTTCTGGCGGCTCCGTCCCGCCGTTGCCGCTCCGTCGCCGCCTCGTCGCCGTCCGCCGTCTGGGCCCGTGTGCCGGTCTGGCCGCCGCGTGCCCGCTGTCGCCGCCCCGTCGCACCGTTCCGTCGCTTGGGCGCGCGGGCCGCTCTGGCCGCCGTCGCTTCCTCGTCGCCGCCCTCCGCCTCGTCGCCGCCCGCTTCGCGTTGGTTCTTATGGTTTTACTTTGCTGTGCATCGCATTGCCTCGCATTGCTTTGCATTGCTTTGCGTTGCCTCTGCGTTGCTTTGCATTGCGCTATTTTGCATTTTTTCGCATTGCGTTGCACGGCTTCACATTGATTCGTGTTGCGCTGCATGGCGTTGATTTGCATTACTTTGCGTTGCGCTGTTTTGCAGTGTTTCGCATTGCGCTACGTTGTTCTGCGTTGTTTTGCATTGTTTTGCCATGCGTTGCGTTGCGATGCGTTGCGTTGCGTAGCGTTGCAATGCTGTTGCGTTGCGGTACTTTGTTTTGCTCGTTGCGCTGATGTGCGTGGTTGTGCATTGTTTCTAGTCGCGTAGTTTGCGGCGCATGGATTGCACTATCTGGGCCCATCTGGCATCTCGTTGCTTGCGCCATCCAAATGGAACCGCATGGCTCTCACAATATCAATTTTGCACAACATATCTTGAATGTCATACATTGCGCCACGTAATTTGCACCGCATTGATTGGTCCACGGCCCACCTAGATTGCGCAACGTGTGCTGTAAGAAACGCATTATTTAGTGTCTACGCTGGTTAACCTAGTTATGGAACAACTGTGTCTTCAATCAGTTAGGCGTGCACGTGAATGGTTGTGAAGAGTTTTGCGCGCACCAGTGGTCCTTTACTGATTTTGATATGCCCGCGCGGAGTCGAGCGTATGTTAGCCGTGTCGTATTTTTTCCAAGGAGTTTCTGACACAACCAACTTGTTGTATCAACGCACGTTGACAAAGGGTGACGGGGGGTCGATGCCGGTTGGCGGGAAGTTGTATTATACATTTCGGAAGAATCGTTGCGCATCTGAATCATGAGCAATAACAACGTGCGCAGTGGTGTCCTGAACCCCGGCTTCGCCTTATCTTGTTCCATCATTGTCTATTTTATCCAATCTCATTTTATTCTGATCTATTCTGTTATATTATGTTATTTTATGGTATGTGATGTATTTTTAATTAACGTTCTGTTTTATTCCCAACCATCCTGTGGTGTTGGGTCCTCGTTTTGAAGAGACGGTGGCCCGCGTCTCCTCTCCTCCTCTCCTCCTCCGCCTCCTCTCCCCTCCTATCATCCTCATCGTCATCATGCAGCGACTTGTCGGCATTTGTGGCAGCGCCGCGGCCGTATTCCCTCGCTCAAGTTCTAAAGGAATGCAAGCATTCTTTGAGCGGGTCTGCGCCGGCCTCACCAGTGCCCTCACCACTGCCATCATCGTTCGCGGCAGCTCGACGCCCTGCCCAGATTGCGTCTGCTCTCCTGCGCTGCACTGCCCAGCGCTGGAGTGCCGCTGCCCGACGGGCGAGGGGTCCCTGGCATCTGCTCAGCCCTCAGGCTGGGCAACTGAGTTCGTGGTCGTGCTGGCGGTGAGCGCCTTCGCGTACGGCATCGTCGTCGGCGGCTACTTCTTCAAGAGCTCGCTGACGGCCCCCGTGGTGCAGCCTACGCCCGCTCCAGCATCTCAACAGGAGGTCGTGGACACTCTCGACCTCGCGACTGCGGCGGCTGCCCAGGCGAGGAAGTTCCGCCGCTAGGAGCAATGGCTGCTCGCGCTGCTGGACAGTTCCACTACGTTCGGTACAACGTCGGGGGGCCCGCCATCTATCACGAGAGACTCACGTTGCTGCCAGGGTACATCCTCGCCCCTGACGATGACGACTATGCTGAGAGCGTCTTGGCAGGTGGCGACTTGAGATCTGCGCATGACTCGGCGGGTCAGGGCGACGCGATCGTCGGAGTCGCCGCCAACAACCTCTACAAGTTCAGGCGGCTGCCGTCGGCAGCCGTCGTCTGGGCTGCTGTGCGCCGCGGCGTTGCCCAGGGCCATGGGCCTCTGCCGCCGTCGCCCTTCAACCTCGAGCTCAGCGCCGACAACGTGCTGGGCGTGGCGGCGGGGGTGCTGGCCTTGCCCGACCCGCTCGGAGCGGCGCCCGCCGCCGCAGCGCCTGGCGCGCTGGCCTTGGCTGGCGCGGCCGCGCCCCCCGCGGGCGCCCCTGGGCCGCCTGCCGCGGCGGCCGCTGCGCTCGAGGGCGGGGTGGGCGCGCTGGCTGCGGCGCTTGGGGCGGGGGGGGGCCGCCCTCCCTGCCGCCGCTGGCCCTGCGGGCGTCGGCGTCGCCGCCGCGGCCCCCGCGGCCCCAGGCGTCGCGGGGCCTGATCCCCGCGTGATGGCCGCCGTCCTGGATGCTCGCGGGTTGCGGAACATGCCCTTCAGTGACGCTGTGAAGCGCCAGACCGAGACCCCCCGCGCCGACTGGCCCGTGAAGGGCCCGAGGACCACGATGTGGGTGCTCCACTTCATGCTCCGCATGGCGGGCGGGGCGATGGCGTGGCACAACCGCTGGATGGCCATGATGCAGGCACTAGAGACGGACGACGCCGCCAAGCTGCACGAGACGCTGTGCCGCGTCATCGAGACCTCGCTCTGCCACGACCAGCTGATCATCTGCGAGCTGGCCTCCTACGAGTTCTTGTCGCGGCAGCTGCAGTTGGTGGAGGAGCGCTTCTTCGAGGAGCGCGCGCGCAGGACCCACCCTGCGCCCGAGGCCAAGGGCCGGGCCAAGGACGGCGCCGCGGCCGCGGCCGCCGACGTCTCCTCTGAGATCGGGCACTTCCTCGGCACTGGGGAGACGATGGGCAACTTGTGCATTTGCCCAGCCTTGATGGATTGGGTCGCCGACCAGATGAAGAGTGAGGCAGCTGTTGCAACGGAGCGCCGCGAGGCTCGCGAGGGGCGGGCCTTGCGGCATCCATGACGTTCCTGAAGGACGCTGGTCAGGGGGGGCCTCGCGACGTGCAACCGGTTCGTGAGCCTGACCAGCTTGGCCCCGAGCCCTTCGAGGCTCCACCTGGCTTGGAGTTGCCCGGGCGAGGTGACCATCGCCAGCGTGACGTTTTTCCGTTTCCTCTTCTCCCAGTGGATGGGCGTCACCATCTTCCGCTTGGTCGTGGGGCTCGTCTGCGCGCCGCCAAAGGCGCGGGCTGGAGAGAGTGGTGCAACGAGGGATTGTCTGCTCTCAACTGGCTCCACTGCGGCAAGGACGAGCCCCCCCATGCCTGGCGAAGGGGTGCCACCGCCTGCGGCCCAGGCAGCCTCGGTGGACTACATCGCGGGCTTGTACCGTGACTTCGAGCTGCCCGCCGCCTACTCGGAGAGAGGGCGCGATTGCGAAGCATCCCTCGTAGAGGTGCTCGCGCAGGCACCTGGCTACGCTGGTGACAGCGGTCGAGTGCGCCCCTACAGCGTGCCGCTTGTGGCCTGGCCCGAGTCGACGAAGGCAGTCTCCACCTGCGGCGTCGTCTCCGAGGCCGACTCCATCGTGCTGCAGGATTGGAGGCAGAGTATGCTGAATCCCGAGTCGGTGGCGGCGGAGCTGCGCGAATCGCTGGGGGTTGTCCGCCCCTCTGTGGATCCTGAGCTGCGCTTTAAGCCGAAGTCCTACGCTGAGTTTTTGAAGCAGCTGGAGGCCCACGACATGATCACCTGGCGGGTCTCCAGCGAGCAGTCATCCTTCTCTACTGGTCTCTTCTTCGTGCAGAAATCAAACGGCAAGCTGAGGTTGGTGTTCGACACCAGGCTGGCCAACTGCAGCTTCTCGTGCCCACCAGCCACTCGCCTGCCCACGCCCAGCGCGTGGGCCAGCCTTGATTGCGATGACAGTTTTCAGTTCGCGCAGGGCGACATTCAGTGTGCATTCTATCATTTACGATTGCCAGCTGGCATGGAGTCTCTGTTCTCTTTGCCACCGATAAACAACATATTCCTCGGCCTCAAGTCGGTCAGCGGGGTTCGTCTTGGCATCGACGACTGTGTCCAGCCTCTTGTCACGGTCGTTCCCATGGGGTGGAGCTGGGCATTCCACCTGTGCCAGAGTGCGCTGACGAGAGCCCTGTCGGATGTCGGGTTCGGCAGTGACGATATGATTTTGGATGGGGGCTGTCCTCGTCCCCTGGTGGCTGAGAAGGACGCGGTGTGTGCAGGATACGTTGACAACTTCTGTGTCGTATCCAGGTGCGCGGAGACAGCCACGTCCCTTGCTCGTGCCGTTGCTGACCTTCTCACGGCCCGTGGGTTGCCTGTCTCGGAATTCTCCCCTGCGGTCAGTAAGGGGGTCTTCACGGGCTTGGAGATCGACGGAGCCTCTGGGATCATTCGTGTTCGTCCTGACCGCCTCGCTCGCACTCGTCAAGCCGTTCTCGGTCTTTTGAAGCGTGGGCGGGCCTCTGCTGGGGCCCTCAGCGTGCTCGTAGGCCACTGTACTTGGGGGATGATCCTGAGGCGCGACGTGCTGAGCATCTTTAACGCGGTCTATCGGTTCATGGGGGCTGTGGGGCCTCATCCTGGACCCCTGTGGCCCTCGGTCGTCGGGGAGTTGTCGGCTGCCGTGGCCCTCGTCCCGCTCTGGGGTGCCTCTACAAGGTCTCGCTGGTATTCGCGGGTGTATGCTTCTGATGCGTCGCCGTTCGGGAAGGGTGTCTGTGTCAAGGAGGTCTCCCCCGCGCTGTCGTCTGAGGTCGGCCGAGTCGCCGAACGCTGGAGATATCGTCATGGGGATGCTGTGCTTGCCAGACCACGCGCCCTAGACGTCGACGGTCGAGACGATGCTGCCGACGGTTGCCGTGCCGACGCATCGTCTACTGCCCCTACTGCTTCTTCGTCTGGCCTCAGTGGGTTCTTCGAGGTTCCTGAGTCCATCTACGGGGCCGAGGGTTGGAATACCATACACTCTAGCCGTCATACTCGACGAGGCTGCGATATCCTTCAGTACGAGGCGGAGGCCCTGGGGTTCAGCGTCCATCATGCTTCGAGGGCCCTGGGTGCTCATCATCATCGCGTCGTCTGTATCGTTGACAATTTGGCTCTAGCTCTTTCGCTCGGCAAGGGGCGGTCTGGGAGCCGACATCTTCTCCGCGCCCTGCGGCGCATCGCTGGGGTGGCCCTCGCCTGTGGCCTGCGCCTGCTCGTGCGGTGGGTGCCGTCAGAGAGGAATGTCGCGGACAAGCCGTCGAGGGAGGGCTTCTTCGTCGGCCCCAGCTTCGAGGGCGTCGGGTCGTTCCTCGTCTCGCGCCGCCCGCGGATCCCCCAGGGAGGTGATCAAGGCGGCGAGGGGCAAGCGGGATCATCCTGGTCCGCTGACGCTCCTGCGGGGCGGACTGTCGGTGCTGGAGGCCAATGCGGTCTCGGAGTCGACGGGCAAGAACTACCACGCCTCCGCCCTCAGGTTTCTGAACTGGTGCCTCTGGACCGCCAGGGACTTCAAGAACAGCGTCGAGCTCGACACGATCCTCGTGGTGTTCTTCGTCCACCTCCTCCTCGACGGGTGCGACAGTGCGACGGGCCGCGTCGCGATGGCCTCGCCGAAGCGCCATTTGCCGTCGATGCTGATGGGCAGCCGCCCGCTGCCACGGGCCTTTCGGGCCCTCCAGGGCTGGGCGAAGCTCGTGCCGCCGCAGATGCGGCTCCCGCTGCCGAGGGTCGCGATGTTCGCCATCGTGGGCGTGCTGCTGTCTCAGGGGCCTCTGTCGCAGGCGGTCTTCGTGAGGATCGCGTTCGACGCATGCCTCCGCCCCAGCGAGGCCTACCGATTGACGGCGGCCTCCCTGATCGCGCCGAGGTACGCCAAGCGGGCAAGCATGCAGCAGCGGCTGGCCCTGCTCGACCCCGCGCTGGTGGACTTCGGGCAGAAGGTCGAGAGCGATCCGCTGGGCCTGATGGACGTGATGGCGAAGACGGGGATCTTCTCGCTGCCGCTGCCGCCCCTGAGGCCGGTGTCGGCGTCAGCGCCGGTGCAGGCGGCTCCCGCGATGGCCGACAAGTGGCTCTTCGTGTGAGGCGCCTGTGGCTACGAGCGCGGGCGCAGGCCACAGCGATGCCTTACCTCATCATGCTCTGCACCTGTGTCCCCGACCGAATTCGGCGAGTGTGTGAGGCCCGCGGGCTCGGCACCGTAGCGGTGAACGTGGCTCGACATCGTCTCGACGGCCTCGCTGACCCTCAGGTCCTGAAGGCTCTGATTGGCTGGGTGCGCGCCTCGGCTGTGCTTGGAGTCTGGGCATCCCTGCCCTGGGGCACCTGGGCGCCAGGGGCGGCGCGTGTCCGCAAGTTTGATTCTGTGTTGCACGTGAGTAGAGCCTCAGAGGCCGCCTGTCGCGCCGTGCGCGTGGCCAACGCGCTGGCTGATTCCACCTTCAAACTGATTGCTGAATGTATCTTCCGCAGAGTCCCGATCATTTTTATGCACCCTGAGTCGAGCCTCATTTGGAGGCATCCCCGCCTGTCCCCTCTCCTTGCCTCGTCCTCCTCTTCCTGCTCCCTCGACGCGTGCATGTATGCGGGTCGCGTGAGACAGCGAATCCACCTTGT